ATCCACAAAACCTTTTCAATTGATCCATTTTGACACCTAGGGTCCATATCATTCTCCCACTTATTCTGGCTCAAAATATTTTATGACTATTGTTGATGACTATTCAAGAGCCACTTGGACACACCTTATGGGAGCCAAAAGCAATGCTTTTGACCTCCTAAAAGCTTTTATTGCTATGACTGAAACTCAATTCTAGCTGAAAGTCCAGCAAGTCAGAAGTGACAATGCTTTAGAATTGGGGTCCAATATACTTGGTTCCAAGTTCTTTTCTGAAAAAGGAATATTGCATCAGACAACATGTCCTCACACTCCACAACAAAATGGAGCTGTAGAAAGAAAACACAGGCATCTTTTGAAAACTGCTAGGGCCCTACTTTTCCAATCTGGTCTCCCTATTAGATTTTGGGGAGACTGCATACTCACAGCCACCTACTTGATTAACAGATTTCCTTCTAGTGTCTTAAACAACAAAAGCCCTTATGAGATCTGTACAATAAGCACCCCACCTACTCCAATCTTAGAGCTTTTGGATGTTTGTGCTACTCTACTGTTCCAAAACCTCATAGGGACAAACTTCAGCCTAGGGCTACTCCTTGTGTATTCATTGGTTATCCCTTTGGAAAGAAGGGTTACAAGCTGTATGACTTACAAAACAAAACATGTCTTACCTCTGGAGATGTTGTATTTCATGAACATATTTTTCCCTTTGTCAAGTCTGGATCTTCTCCCTATTATGTCAAATTTGCCTTTTTCTACTTGCTTTGATCATTCTGTTCCACACATNGGATCAACGGATGATAGAGCAACAAAACGAAGAATCGAGTAGGCATATTACGCACTGTTCAGTAAAAGGCACATAACATTTTGCTCAGAACTCCATTTGGGCTTCACAATATTTCACACTTCAAGTGTAGACCAGCTTGCTGACATGTTTACTAAGCCCTTGGGAGGTGCTCTTCATCACTTGCATCTTCGCAAGTTAGGAGTTATCTCACCCTCCAACTTGCCGGGGGGTGTTGAGATACAAGAAGAAAGTGATGTTACTTAGTTAGTTTTAATTGGGCTGTTACTTAGTTTTGGGTCATTTTTCTCTACATGTCATATTGAGCCTAGATTGTAGTTATTTATATCTGTATGTAGTGGACCAGCCCAATACATTTTGTACAGAAGGGGATTATATTTTGTAACAGACGGTTGATTTTTTGATTCTCTCTCTAATGGAAAATATCTAGAAGTTTCCTCCTTTCTTCCTCTCTATTACTCTTTCTTCGATCTCATCGTTAATGGAGTTTTATCAAAGCCAAAGTTAATTCATACTATCCTAGTATGTTGTTTGCTACAACAAACATAAAAAATGGTACTTAATTAAATAATGAGTACTCCACATTCATAAATCATACTCCTTAAAAATTTTAAACAATAATCCCAACTTAAAGTGTTTCAGTTTCTTCAGAAAGATAGAAAGAACTTCAAAAATTTGGATGCTTCCTAGTGTTAACTACAATCTCTTCATCTTTGGGATGTGTCCTGTAGCGGTGGCGAAGTCAGAATTCGCGAAGGTGNGTTTGTGCTACTCTACTGTTCCAAAACCTCATAGGGACAAACTTCAGCCTAGGGCTACTCCTTGTGTATTCATTGGTTATCCCTTTGGAAAGAAGGGCTACAAGCTGTATGACTTACAAAATAAAACATGTCTTACCTCTAGAGATGTTGTATTTCATGAACATGTTTTTCCCTTTGTCAAGTCTGGATCTTCTTCCCCTATTATGTCAAATTTGCCTTTTTCTACTTGCTTTAATCATTCTGTTCCACAACATTCTTCAATGTATCGTGATTTATTTTTCCCTATTTCATCAGATCCTTCTTCTTCTTCTAATCCATCTCTTTCTACTTCTGAATTTCCTTCTCACAATGATCCTTCTGCTTCCCCTAGTCTCCCACTTCCTCTTCACTCTGAATCTAATTCTCCTCATCTCTTCTCTGAATCTGATTTTCCATCTTTAAGGAGGTCCTCTAGACCTCACAATCCTCCCTCCTATTTGCAGAATTATGTTTGTAACTTGCCAACTTCTAGCTCCAGATCTGCTAATTCAACAGTTATGTATACTTCTAGTGAACATGTTTTTGAGCCTAATCTTACTCTCAGGCAGCAGCTAACCCTGAGTGGCAGGCTGCTATGAGAAAGGAGTTTGAGGCATTGGAGACTAATGGTACTTGGGATATAGTTGAGTTACCCAAAGGCAAAAGGCCAATTGGCTGCAAATGGGTATACAAAATTAAGTACAAAGCTGATGGGAATATAGAAAGATATAAAGCTAGGCTTGTAATTAGAGGTGATACACAGGTTGAGGGAATAGATTTTCATGAAACTTTCTCTCCGGTGGTCAAACTTTCCACTGTTAAAGCTTTAATTGTTGTCACTGTTAAAAGACACTGGTCACTATTTCAATTAGATGTTAATAACGCTTTTTTGCATGGGGATTTAGATGAGGAAGTTTATATGAAAATTCTACCTGGTCTTTCTGTTTCCAATGCATCTGCTGATTCTGTTTCCCACAATTTGGTATGTCGATTGAAAAAATCTTTATATGGTCTACGCCAAGCTTCAAGGCAATGGTATGCAAAATTGTCCCAGTCCTTGGCATCTAGACGTTATTCACATTCATTCAATGATTATTCACTTTTTATGAAGGGTTCTGGTGATAACCTGGTACTCTTAGTTGTCTATGTTGACGGTATTATCATCACTGGGACAGATATGGTTGAAATTGATGCTGTAAAACATTTTCTTCATGATCAATTTAAGATTAAAGATCTAGGCCATCTTAACTACTTCTTGGGTATTGAAGTTCTGTACTCAAAGCATGGGGTGTTGTTACATCAGAAGAAATTTGTGAAAGATCTTCTCAAGGAGTTCCATTCTTTTGATTGCTCATCAGTTGTATCCCCCCTTGAAATGCATGACAAGTTACTGGCTGATCAGGGTGATCCTCTGCCTAATCCTGAGACTTATAGGTTCTTGGTGGGTAAGCTCAATTTTCTGACCCATACAAGACCTGATATTTGCTTTGCAGTCCAGCACTTGAGCCAATTCATGCAAAGGCCTTGCTCCCTCATATGCAAGCTGCCTTGCGACTGCTCAGGTATCTTAAGGGTACTCTTGATTTTGGGATTTTCTACAACAATTCTCCTGATCTTTCTCTTAGTGTATAATGTGATAGTGATTGGGGTTCATGCCCAGATAGTAGGAAGTCCATCAGTGGGTTCTGCATCTTGTTAGGGGGTTGTTTAATTGGTTGGAAATCCAAGAAACAATCTGTCGTTTCTTTATCATCTGCTGAAGCTGAATATAGATCCATGAGTAAGGCCACTGCTGAAATAACTTGGGTTTGCCGACTTTTATCTAATTTTGGTGTTGTTTCTTCTTCTCCTGTTACTTTGTTTTATGATAACCAGGCTGCCATCCATATTGCCAAGAACCCCGTCTTTCATGAACGCACCAAGCACATTGAACTGGATTGTCATTTTGTTCGCACAAAGCTGAATGAAGGATTGCTTCAGTTGCTTCACACTTCAAGTGTAGACCAGCTTGCTGACATGTTTACTAAGCCCTTGGGAGGTGCTCTTCATCACTTGCATCTTCGCAAGTTAGGAGTTATCTCACCCTCCAACTTGCCGGGGGGTGTTGAGATACAAGAAGAAAGTGATGTTACTTAGTTAGTTTTAATTGGGCTGTTACTTAGTTTTGGGTCATTTTTCTCTACATGTCATATTGAGCCTAGATTGTAGTTATTTATATCTGTATGTAGTGGACCAGCCCAATACATTTTGTACAGAAGGGGATTATATTTTGTAACAGACGGTTGATTTTTTGATTCTCTCTCTAATGGAAAATATCTAGAAGTTTCCTCCTTTCTTCCTCTCTATTACTCTTTCTTCGATCTCATCGTTAATGGAGTTTTATCAAAGCCAAAGTTAATTCATACTATCCTAGTATGTTGTTTGCTACAACAAACATAAAAAATGGTACTTAATTAAATAATGAGTACTCCACATTCATAAATCATACTCCTTAAAAATTTTAAACAATAATCCCAACTTAAAGTGTTTCAGTTTCTTCAGAAAGATAGAAAGAACTTCAAAATTTGGATGCTTCCTAGTGTTAACTACAATCTCTTCATCTTTGGGATGTGTCCCTGTAGCGGTGGCGAAGTCAGAAATTTCGCGAAGGGTGTTCAAAATTTAATATACACATATAAAAGATAATATTTGACCTATATACACAATATAAATTTCTATATATACAATAGAATTTTTCGATGAAGGGTGTTTGATTGACCACCCTTCAATATATGTTTTTACGCCACCGCCTTGTAGAAAAATTCAATATTGTAATGGTGGTGCCTGACCAACTTGCATGCATCTAAACCATTTCAACGGACACCTGCTACCTCTCACTATTATAAATATTAAGATAACTATGTCAATCAAAGCTTGGTCCTAATTTCAAAGGTCGTAATTTCATTATAGGAGCTCCTCATCTACCTCCGCTTTTATTATTAAGAGAAATACTAATCACGTACAGAGAGACGAGACCAGATTGATTAAATCTAGAATATAGAAGTTGAAGCATTATTGAAATCATCTTTAATCCGACAAAAGGTAATTAAAGACCTCTGCATCTTATCTACTCTTTAAGATCTACAACAAATAGTTGGCGATGAAAATCAGACGGCACACGTTCACTTCCATTCCCAACTACAAGTAGAATGAACATTCAACAATTCAAAACAGCACTACTCTTTGATATTTCATCGGGACTTATTAGTTATTACCAGCAAGTTGTAAGCGAACAGAGTAGACACGCTCATCTTTGTAACTCTCCAATTTCCGATAACGTTAATTGGTATTCCAAAAGTGTAAGAGACAATAGTGAAGCGACCTCATCAGTCTCAAGTCAGAGGAACTTCAGCGTAAGCACTTTGACTAAACACAAAAAATAACCATTATAAAAGATGTAATCTGTAGCCATTGATTATTGAACTGTGCATTTGAAGAAACTGGGTCTAGATTTCCAGTAGACCAAGCCATGTCTAGTGTATAAAATATTAAAGCAAAAAATATTCAACTTCACAGCTGCCACAGCAGCAACAATAAGAACAATTATCCAGTAAAGGCAAGGAAAGAACACAGAATTTTGAGTCACATCGTCTTAACCAAATTTATTCCGGCAAAAATTGTAAGAGACTTAGTGATGACCCTCGTCATCACTGCCATGTCCATCAGGAGGTCCTCCAGGTCCAACCACTTCCAACTGCAATAGAAGAAACCACTCCAGTATGAGAATAAGTACTTCACTAATGCATTTTTTTGACATATACAACAGCAAGGACAACTTCACATCTACAAACTTCCCTAACAGCCTCCAAATTAACCTAAATTTAGAAAAACTGGGAGTATGGGTTCACGTCTAGCTATTCTTCAACAGCCTACAAATTAACCTAGATTTAGTCAATAACATATCATACAGCTAACTCTGAGTTAAAGGCTATTCTGTACTTACTTCAAAATACTGTGAGCATACTGGGCATTCATGTGGCTTGCCCTTCTCAAGCCAGAACCAAACAACATCATGCTCATCTTCTGTAAAATTAGAAAAAGAAAACACGGGGGGACATTAATACAAACCAACTTAATAGACTGAAGACAACTGGCTAGAACAATGAATGTCTGATGGAGACACTATCAACTAATAATATATAATGGAGACTTGCCTCCTTCACCTCCCGGGCATCCAACAATTCTTCTGTCATAGTAAGATTTGACAACAGCTGGTGCTTCCTATAATACAACATATAGAATGATTTGATCAGGCTCGTATGCATCAAATTTGTAATAGAACTGATAACAAATAAGCAATCACAGAAACTAGATTTATTTAAAGAGTTGTAACTAGCAATTCATCATTAGGAGATAAACAATAGTGTGTACCAAGGTCAAAAAGAAACACAGAATTGAAGAGAAGATTACTGATCACATGAAAAAAAAATCGGCCAGTGGAGACTTAATAATTTGTTATATTAGTGATCTAAACCACCCGAAACAAGTTAAAATACTAAGATTAAATTAAGTTGCACATTCACAGTACTTAGATACACATAAGTACACTTCTTTTCATTGGCAGAGAATTACAAGATAATATTTTAAAGAGAAAAGAAGACGTCAATACTAATCAACTGCATTGATGAACGTTTACCAAAGAGACCATATGTTATATAAATGTACAAGTTAATTACAGAAGCAGATAAGACTGCTTTTTTAACAGCATTTCAAAGAGCATCAAAATATATGCTATGACCTGAACTACATCAATATTTGAAAGGAAATGGCCTCCATCATATAAGTGATAAGACCACCATTAGTTCAATGATCATCAAATGAGCAACAAACAAACCATTAAGCAACTGACTATACTCCACAGAATGAGCTAAAGAAGAATAGGCCCCAACAACTCAGAATTTCCATACTATGATATGGTGAAGTAACTAGGCACACAGTACACATCAAATTAAACAGGACGAAACTAGAACCTCATACATATTTACTCGTATCATATTCACAACGCATTTTCATAGAGTAAACCAAAAGCTTGAATTATGAAGAAACATTCTAGAAAGTATGAGGTCGCTTGGTTCAGACGCTACTTATAAGGGAATTATATAGCCCAGATTGTTTATGTGGTAAACGATAATGAAGGGAATGTTATACGAAGAATAATAATGTAGAGATTATTATGTAGTGAATAATAATATAGAGAATGTTAAGTAGGGTTTACCTACTTTAGCGGCATTTTCGTCTTAAAATTCTTTTATCTTTGTATTACTAATTATTGTATTCTTATTCCACTTTTATTCCTGTATAAAATAATACATAAAGTCCCGTATAACTCAGTGTAGGTACTATTTAATACGGCCAACCAATACCGCAGACCCAAAGATGATTATTTTATCTTATACAGACAACCAACCGCCACATTAGTTAGGAGGGGATAATCTTTTTCTAATCCCACCAACCAGATATTGGATTATTTTATGCAGGATTTTGTGTTGAGATTATTTTGTTAATCCCTCCAATTAAACGACTCTAGAGGTTTTAGGACAACTAGAAATAAGAACTGCAGGTTCAGCCCCATAAAATAATGAGATTGAAATAAGATTAAACAAGACCATGGTGCCCAAGTACAGACAATTGAGATATCTAGGCTCAGTATTCCACGAGAATGCTATGATACATATAAAATTAAAGTAGGATCTCTCAAAATGATAAGTGCTGCAAAAGTACTATAAATATAAAGATGCCTGCCAAAGTAAAAGGGTAGTGTGTTATAAAACGAGTATGAAACCAGCAATATCATAAAAGAGAGTTGAACTTATCCACAAGAAGGAAGTGTGCCTCACTCAAGATAATCTTTGCAAAAGGAGTATTCCCATAGTTAATAGATGCTACATGTGCCAGCAGGATTTTGAAACAAACAGACATCTATTTTTGCATTGTCCAGTTGCTACGGATATTTGGAATATGTTCCTTTCAGTTTTAGCACTCAATTGGGTGATGCCAGAGAGTATTGAAGATGCTTATAGTAGCTGGAGTCTATGGAAAGTTGGTAAATCCATGAGCAAGATCTGGAAAATGATTCCTGGATGTATTTTTTGGGCTATTTGGACAGAAAGGAATAGAAGATGTTTTGAGGGTTTAGCAACTCCAAATTACTCCTTGAAAGCTAATTGTATAGTTTTGTTATATAGCTAGAGTAACCTCTCCCCTATAAGCTCCTCCGAATTATTTTTGGATTTTTTTAGCTCCCTAACACTAGCATAGGACCATCTGTACAGAGCTAACATATCATCTTTTGTATTAGCACCTGGGCAGTGCTCTTTTGCATCTTCTTGATGCTTTTTATAATATTTCTTACTTCATCAAAAACAAACTTATCCACAAGAAGATTGTTAAAAATTTCAGATGTTGACATGGCCGTACAGTCATTTAAGATGAGATAAGGTTAATAAATGATTACATTGCACAGCAGGTATAAATGACACACACAGAATAAAATAAGTGAATGTTGCATATGATGATATGACATCTATATACACCAATCCTTAGGTGCGACACTATGATTTTGAGGTGTTAAAAGAGAAAGAGGTAGACCTAAAATCAATGGAGAAGGTTATCAAAATGGTCTACAATCTCTTGACTAGCATAGCGCATAACAGAACACGATAAACAGAACATAATGGTAGCAAAAGATCCATAACCAATAATAATTCCTTAGTCATGTTACACTAATGTTAGATTTGGTGCTAGGGGACTTTTTCATTGTTAGTGTAAAGATAAGTGTAAAATTTAGAGAACCTTTAGGTTTGGAGAACCCTTAATTTGCTATTCATTAGGTATCCTTATTAACTCGTCCCAATTGAGGAAACATTTATAGAAGGTTCATATAACTGACTCAATTAGTTTGGATTTAGGCATAGTTATTGTAATTCAAAACAAAGTTCACTAAGTTGTTGAAGCATGAAAAGGAAGGACCAGAAGGGATAAGGTCCTTTTTCCCTATTACATTAGGAATTGCAAATGGGGGGACTTTGCAGTTCCCGCTAATCTTTTTTAAAGCCTATCAACTTAAACTGAGAAGAGAGGTAAATCTCATTTACTTCTCTTGCACTCGTACAACCAACATGAATGGAAGTAAAAATAGTAAAATCAAGCATCCATCATACCACTTTCTCTTCTTAGTCCTCCCCTTCGTTGAAGGACACACATATTATGACTAGGAAGGAAGTGTGAAAAAGCAACATTGATCCAGCCCCCCCCCCCCCCCTCCGCCCTAATTCTTTTGGATAAAGGATACAGACGCCGTAAAGTTCAGTAAATAATGGGCCACCCTCTACCTTTCTCTTCTTAAACAAACTTAGTTTACCAGTAGAATTCAAAATTGTGACGAGTGCTTATAACACATCCCTTGTTGGGTTACATTTTATATTGAATTTGAACCAAAGCCCTGGGGCTAGATTGATCCAGGTTGTCTTTAGCTTAGTAAAACTCAATAATCCTTCTGGAGCAGTAGTTTCAAACTAAAACACATTCTCAGCATCAGATGTTAATATAAGAGAATAAACAGTAGGCTGCTCATTTTTATCTTCTTTGCTTTTGTCTTAAATTGGATTATCAGAAGAACCATAAACTCACAAGAAAACCTAAAAACAAGGGCTATTTCCAACATTTCCTACTCTAAATGCATGTTACCCATGTTAATAAGAGAACAATGAATTATGCCATATAATCATTATGCATCAGACGAGAATAACTAATCTGGATATAAGATAAAACAATTTTATTGATCAACAATACATTGCGACAAAAGCAACAAGCAATAACGAGTGTGTATTAGCACCAATCAGTAGTTGAAAATCCACACTGACCTTTGTACCAAAAGGACCCTCAGGAAAGTTAATGTCAAGAAGCTCTCTTCCCTAAAGCACACATCAAATGTAAATTTCAGTCACACGTAGTAACATCTATCAAAGACAATTGAATTAATATACCTAAATATCTCGGCTAAAAATGCTATAAATATGTAGAACATGGTAGATAACTCACTTGGAGTTCAGCTTCAAGCTCTTCGCGCTCATGGCCAGTTGCAATCGGCATTACATCCTCCACACTCTTCTTAACAACATTCTCTGTTCCAGACAACAAATCCAGCAAATTACATAAGGCACGTATATTAATCAATCAATCCATTAAGTATCCTCTATATCCATTCGACTTTATTTAAACACATAATTTTGTGTAAAAATGCGTGAGATCTGATGAAATCAGGGTTCAGAGTAGAGAGAAGTGTGAAAGTATACCGGATGCGGTAGTGAATTGGCGAGAGAAGGACGTGACCGATGACCGGAACGCCGCCGGAGACGGAGAAGAAGAAATCGACGTGGCGGCGAAGGCGGTTGGATTGGACTTAGGAGTGGATCGAATTAGGCGTAGGGTACGGAGCTGCGAAGAGAGTTTTCTCCACATAGTGTGTGTTCTTTCGTCAGGTCAGCCCCTTTTGCGTCTGCAGATCGAGAGACGAGAGCTTTTCTTTTCTTATCACTCTCTTTGTTTCGCTTCTGTTGTCTCCACAACTTTTTTGGAAAAGAAAATGGCAAATAAGGGTGGCACTGGCCGAAGGGCGACGGCTTCGGCCAAGGTTGACTCGCTCGTGCGAGAATTTCTCCCACGTGTCTATGATTTTTCTCTTTTTTCTTTAACTTTTTTGTAATCATATGGTTAAAATAAACGGAAAAGGGTCAAATATGCCCTTAGACTATTGAAAAAGGTTTAATATTACCCTCTGTTATACTATCAGTCCAAATATATCCCTAACGCCATACTATCGGTCCAAATATATCCCTGACATCATGAAAGTGGTACAAACCTACCCTTCCTCCGTTAACTGCCTTCCCTATGAACACATTTTATTGCTACCTCACCATTTCACCCTGTTTGCAGCTACCAAGTTCAATTACTTTGAAGTTCTATCATTATTTTGAAGACTTCACTGCCTCTACTTCCTCTTGCTTTTCAAAATACCTGTTGCTTCTCCGGCCGATACTGGAATTATACGTACCTTTCACTTGACCTTACAATTTTGTGTTTTGTTTTGCTTTTCCTTGTGTTGTCGCTGAATCTGTAAGACATATTTAGGGAAAATTTAGTAGCACTTTTATTTTAATATAAAACATAAAGAGAGAAAAAATGGTAGCCTTCCAGAAATGTGGTTGAAGAGAAAGAAACAAAAATGTTAAATTTACTCTCGTGTCTAGGTTGTTTTTCTTTCTTACCATGGTCAATTTTAAAACTTTAAACTAGTTTGTCTGTATCTTTGCTTAGTTTGTTATATAAAACAAAATGTATTTTTGTCTGTATAAGCATTAATTTTGAATAGCAAAATCAGAATTTTCTCGGTTCACATTGCTTCATATTATCTTTAGTTGTTAGCATTTCGTTTGATATAGTTTGTTTGTATATCTATGATCTGTGATTTTTTTTTCAAATGAACGGGAAAGAAAGGTTGTGGGGAAGGGATGAAAATGGGAGTATAATGTTGAGGTGGCAATGAAATGTTGCAATAGGGAGGCAGCTAACGGAGGAAGGGTAGGTTTGTACCACTTTTATGATGTCAGGGATATATTTGGACCGATAGTATGACGTTAGAGATATTTTTGGACTGATAGTATAACGGAGGGCAATATTAGACCTTTTTCAATAGTATAGGAGTGTATTTGACCCTTTTCCGTAAAATAAAACACTCTTTTATGGATATTAAAATTCAAAACATACTGATATGATAATTAAACTTTTTTGTTGAAAATATATATATCTACTAATAGTTTATAGGATTGGGATCAAGAGATTCAATTTGACTTAATGGTATAGCCCAAAGAAGGAAATAGGAGTATCAATTATTGAGCATTTATGGGAGTGAAAGCTAAACGAGTATAATTCGGATGAAACATGCTACACTTCATATAGGGATATAAAACGTAAATTCTTCCACAAAATAGAAGACGAAAAAGAGCTGGACTTATTCTCTGCTTAAAGTGGCATTAAGCAAAGATATATAGCGGTGTCCAGGCCTCGTTTGTGCGAACATCGACTAATTCCACGGGATACTTGCCACCTCCTACCAGTAACATATACGATATAATTCTATCTACCAGAGGTATGCCCCTTTCTCAATAATGTTAACTGATATTAGGCTATATAGATGATATTTACACCTTAATATTGCCATGCTTTATTGTTGTTTTATAGGCAAATTGCCAACAAAATGCTCTAAATGGTATTCTTTTGTTTCACAGGGAATATTCTAAGTGGGGAAGCACCACGGAGTGTTTTGGAGGCAATAATGTGAAGAAAAACGCCCACTCAAGAAGTACCCGAGCACAAAGAAGCAAGAAAATGGACTGAGCAAATTCCACCGCGACCGCGGTGGATCCGCAGCAGATCAAGCGTCGAGGCAGAATGCTCAACGTGCACCGCGGTCGATCCACGGACTTGCCGCGACCGCGGTGCACTGTTCACTCGCCAGGAATTTGGGGACCAAAGTGTAAATTCGAAAAAACTTGTTCCAAACCCTTATAAGCTTTAGAAACTCGCCCAAGATTGGTTTAAGCTTGTTTTTAGACTACTTTGGAGGCAAGAACACGGGTAACAAGAGTAACAAAACATTAGAATTCTTCTATCTTCTTTTGATTATTTTCAATTACCCGTTATAAATAATTTAGTAGTTTTATCTTGTTTTGTCATGAGTAGCTAATTTCCTAGTATCGGGTGTTGATGGAACCTATTGAAGGATGAACTTCTTGTTATGTTAATATAGTTTGCCAGTTTAATCTCTATTTGTTCAACTATGTGCTTGTTGTAGTTAATTGACAGGATCCTCAATTAGATGTGCCTATTTAGTGTGCATAACTCGGGAGAGAGTGCATATTTAGGTAATTGTTGAACAACATCACTCCCAAAGTATATGAGGGATCAATAACTGAGGGTTTAAAGGCGGGATTAGGGATAACGAAGCCTTGGGTGCAATCTAAAGTGAGCTGCAATAAATAAAGTCAGCTAGCGTAACTCGGGAGAGTGCGTCTAGTAAATTGTCGTGATTACTCGGGAGAGATTTACGGTAATAAGAGTGCTCATGATTGATAGAGAATATTTGGTGAATCTATGTGAAATATAACCGGAAGGGATTCCATCAATAGGGGAAATCATAACCTTAGAACCTTCTCTTAATTGTTTACAACTTAATCATAGTTAGTTTTCAGTTGCTTATTTACATTCATTCTTAGTTAGTAGAAACATCTTCAATTGTTATTCAAATGTTTGGGAAGTTGATTCCGTAGAATTTAGTAATTCCAACAAGAGTAATTGATAGGTTAATTCCTTGTGGGTTCGACTCTGGGCTAAATACTCAGATTATATTTGCAACGTCCGCGTGTCCTTTTATTAAGGCATAGTTGGGCGTGATCAAATTTTGGCGCCGTTGCCGGGGAATTAACGGTGTTATCAATTACAATTGAAAGAAATACAGAAATTTCTTAGTGTAGTCAGTTTTCTCTATACCCAATCTATACATTGAAATTTTAACGTTTGTTGACTTGGTTGTACAGGTGCATGCCTAGAAACTCAACGAGAACTGGTGAAGTATTCGAAGCTTTATCTGATCCCGAGAAAGTTTTTAAGGCCTTGAACCGGGCCAACCGGAAAAGCAAACAGTAACAAATAATTGAACAAATCAAACCGAACATGGGAGATCACGAAGAAAACCCACCGGTACCTCTTGTGCCAGAGGCTGCTCTCTATGACTGGGCACAACCCACAGCTGAAAATCTGGCCACAGCGATTGTAGTCCCGCAGATACAGGCTGAATCATTCCAAATCACGAATAACATGATGCACTTGTTGCAAAACAAGGGACTATTTTCGGGGTCACAAGTCGAAGATCCTCAACAGCACTTGAAGAATTTCCTGTCAATCTGCAAAACCCAAAGGCAGCCCAACGTAACTCCAGAAGCAATCAAGTTGTTATTGTTTCCATTCTCAGTGACAAGAGCTGCCCAGACCTGGCTAAACTCACTCCCCATAAATTCCATAACAACTTGGGAGGAGTTAGTCAAGCAATTCCATAACAAGTTCCACCCACCCAACAAGACTGCTCAACAAATTGATGAAATTTTAAGTTTTAAACAGAGACCAATGGAGACACTGCATGAAACATGGGAACGCTTCAAAGGGATGCTGGTTATATGTCCGCACCATGGTATTCCAGATCTGATGTTGGGACAACGGTTTTACATGGGATAGTCAGATAGCGTGAAGAACATAGTTGATGCTTCAGCTGGTGGAGCATTTTTGAGCAAAACATGGAGAGAAGGCCAGAGTCTGCTTGACAAGATGGCACAGAATTCGGGATGGACAACCAGGAATGCACCTATCACCCTAGTGGTTCACTCAGTGCCCTTAGATCCATCCANGATATTAGGTAGCCCTATCACCAAGTCTTTAGAGATTAATTTGTTGAGCTGATTTAGATTTGCATGACCAAGTCTTTTGTGCCACAAGAGGGGATCATTAACCAACACACTTAAACAAGTGAGTTCATTTTCTGAAAGAGTGGACAAATCTACAATGTAAATATTGTTAACTCTTTTTACCTGCAAAACAATCTTGTCAGTGATAAGGTTAATCACAAAGCATTTGGTGGAGGTAAAAGCCACAAGGTTACCTCTGTCACACAATTGTGACACACTTATTAGGCTATATTTCAAGCCATCTATCAGGTAGACATTCTCTATGGAATGAGAATCTGTTTTGCCTACCTTTCCAACCCCAATGACCTCACCTTTCTTCCCATTTCCAAAGGAGACATTACCTCCTTTGAAGTCCTCAAGTGAAAGGAACTGGTTCTTGCTTCCTGTCATATGCTTTGAGCAGCCACTATCAATGTACCATATTAGGCTGCTCCCCTTCACTTGAACCCGCAAAAGGAAATCAGGGGTTAGTCTTAGGAACCCAAACTAGTTTAGGTCCCTTTCTATAGGCAAAAGGGTAAATCAGATTCTTTTTAGCCCAACCTGGCAGCCTATTTTTCCCTTGAACAAATTCTTTGTTCTTTTGACTAGCCTTTTCTTTTGCAATACATTCACTTTTATAGTGACCAGTTTTACCACAGTGTGTGCAAATTTTGTTCTCAAGAAGTGTGAGGTACTTGCTTTGGGATCCCACTTAGGTGCAGGGGTCCCGTAGCCAAGTCCTCTCTTGTTGCTACTATGGTGTTCGTGTATCCATGAAAGTGCATCAAAGGACCTATTCCATTTACAGGTTCTGTCTAGCTCGTGCTTAACCTTGTTTAGATCCTCCTTAAAGACTCTTATTTGCTCATCTCTTTTGTACAACTCATCTTTCATTTTTCCTGCATTTTCTTCTAAAGTGAGTTGTGTGTGATCAACTTTCTTTTTACCTGTTCCTAATTTCAGTTTTAGATTTTCAGATCTTAGCTCTAGGACAGTGGTGTTAAGTTCATGGACCTGGTTCTTTAACTCAGCATTTTTACTATCACTTTCACTAGCCCTAAGTTCCAGATTTTTGCACTTAGCTTTCAAAATCACACTCCTTAGACAACTGTTTGTTTTCATTGTTTAGATCCTCAGATTCATCAATAAAATCCAGGAGTAACTCAGATAGCCTTTCTTTAGACAAAAATTTAATCTTGTCTTTGAGA